TGAATATATGTCTCGTGTTGCTACTCACCCTTGTTCTATTTCTAGCGATGACTAGCAATGTCGACTTGAGTAATCGATGGTGCATTCCTTCATACTGTGGTGATATTCGTAATATAAATTACCCGTTTTGATTGAAAAGTGATTTGAAGGGATGCGGTGTCTCAAGATACGAGCTGGCTTGTAAAGGAAATTACATCGTTCTATACTTCCTCGATGACAGATACTATGTGCAGTTTATCAATTATATCGCTAGCCAAATCAGATTAATCGAGACGAGCTGCAAGGCCGAGATGGGCTGTAAAAGGATAACTGCTCATTTCTCCCCCATCATTCATGGTCGTTGTATGACTTCTATAAATGTTCCTATTTAAACACCCCATACGACTTGTACAATGATAGTACATTGGTCATTATGAACTACTCAAAGCCCGTTCATTCTCCATTCTACATCGCTACCGGTCCATGCATTGAGGGGTTGTACTCTTCCAACACGTCATCAAATTGGAACTTGTACGCTTTGGTCAATCCAAAAGTATCAGATGTCAGGGATTTTTGCACCATTAGAGGTTGATGAGCGCATCATATGATTTTGGGGGTGGGCAGGTAAATAATAGCTCCTTCAACTACTAGCGAATCCATAACATCATGACCGATCGATTTGCTCTCTACTTTCCTATATTTTCAGAGAAGAAAACTTTCTTTTGCTACTTTGATATCTGTGGCTATTTTCATTTCCATAACAACTTTTTATCCCTTCGCTTATTAAATAGTGTCTTCAGAGGTCAGGTTTGCGGATCCAACAAGTACTACAAGGGTGGTAAGTATCGATCGGCAATGAAATTGCACTGTCATTTTGCATGATTCTGTACACTCTTTACTTGCTACTTCCTCTTTGAAAGTGGAAAATGAAAGGAATATCTACTATCCAAGAAAACTTTGTCAAATTATACATGACGGTGTACGTTCAATGTATACATGTGTCTAGATTATAATTTCTTTTCACAAAAGGGCTAAATCTCCCACGGTAACAAAAGAAAAAAAAATTTCTTGCGCGACCACCCACATGACTAGTTTTTTTTTTTTTTGGTAAGGATCACATGACTAGTTTTTTGTTGGCATAGAATTTACATTTTATTTATTTTCTTAATTTGTTCTTTAATTAGTCACTTAACTAATAATCCAAGAGACACTCGTTAACAATCCTTACAAAATTGTAGTCATGTATCGGTAGGAGGAACAATACTAGTCATTAAAAATGAAAAGCACTATTTCTCTAGATTTGTTGACCGCCAACGAAGCGAAAGGAGTTTTTTTATATCGTCTATCATTTACATGAAAAACGAAGCTTATTATTTTCATTTATTTGCAAGTGCCCGCATTCCACTTCTCATATTCTTTTGGACAAAATTTAGCTTGTACAAAGTAGCTTGCTACTACTCTGTTTCCTCGTGAGTTTTGTTTTCCAAACTATGTTTTTTCCTTCAATTCCTTTCACATCATTCATTCCTTCTACAGGTGTCCTAGATGATATTGCATTTTGGACAACTTGGGATTTTACAATACTATTAGGAAAGCCGCAATGATTTATTCTTACAATAATTATGAAAAAATAACTTATTCTAACCTATCAAAGTTTTCTTCAGTGCTTTTTGTGTAGTGAAGTTTGTAATTGGGACGCTATTTGTCGCAATATTTCTAATTTACAAGTACAGAAGAAGGCACTTAGCAATGGACAACATCGAAGACTTTTTGCAAGCTCATAACAACTTTTTGCCAATAAGGTATTCTTAATCGAATATTAAGAAGATCACTGGAAATTTTAAGCACAAACTAGGTGAAGGGGGATATGGTTATGTACACAAAGGAATTCTTAGAAGTGGCAACGAAGTGGCCATCAATATTTTGAAGCAGTCCAAGGCCCATGGCCAAGATTTTATTGGTGAAGTGGCTACTATTGGAAGAATTCACCATGTTAATGTAGTGCAACTCATCGGTTTTAGCTTTGAAGGCCCAAAACAAGCTCTCATGTATGATTTCATGTCAAATGGACCTTTGGATAAGTACATTTCACTGAGGAAGGTGATAAGTTTCTTGATTTCAAAAGTAACGCGATATAAGACACAACAAAAGTATTGTAACTAATTAAATTTTAAAGTGAGAAAGCATGATTCTCGTGGGCTTCCAAAAAGCAAGTGTGTCGATTCTTCTAGTTTTCTTAATTTTGAACTCCCTTTTTTTTAGCATAGTTTAGTAAAATAAATCAACGTTGCTCCGCTTATCAAATCATATTTCATAGCCAAACCAAAGTTTTCTTTTGTATCTATATAGCCTTTTGAAACAAAATTGATTCGCAATATCAATCGACCCAAGTTAAATAGAAGTGGAGATCAAAAGAGATGTAACTAGTTTGAAGTGATTACACCAATTGCACACACTAATCTCCAATCCACATCGAAGGTTATTGGGGTTGCTTTTGTCTTCAATATTTCTTGAAGCATGTCTCCCTTATGATTCTGGCTACGATATCCCCTTTATCTGTATTTCTTGAAGCATGTCTCCCTTATGATTCTGGCTACGATATCCCCTTTATCTGCCGCGTCCATCATTAGGGTGAGAAAATTTTCAATAAAGAAGATGTAAAGTCTATACGAAGTTCAAAGTCATTAGGACCCAAAATTGCTTTAAGTTGTCCCTATGTGGATTCCATTTTCATATAACTGTATTAGCAACTACAGTCATTCTTCCGACGTGCATTGCAAGAATACAATTATAGTTTGGATATATATGATTTTGCTTTTAAGCGGAGTATATGAGAGGGTATTTTATGTAACTGCTATACTCATAAACTATTGCAATACAATTTAGCTTCATATAAGGATTTTTTTTCAGATTTACGTGACAAAACATTTTGTTACGTGGATGACTTGGCCTTCTCCATAGGACAAGGCGACTCCAAATCTCCAATCAAACAAGGATCATCCCATCTTTTCTCCATCTTTTGTATTATGTCTCCCCCACACCCACCAAGCAATTCTTTACCAATTTCTCTTTCCCCAAAGACAAACATAAACATGATCAATGAATATCTATCAGCTCCATGAATATCTATCAAGCATTCCTCCTCGTTCTTGTTCTATTGCAAGTGATGACTAGCAATGCCAAGTTGAGTAATCCGCTGTGCGTCGCTTCATTCTATAGTGACATTCGCAATACAAATTATCAGTTTTGATTGAAGACTGACCCGAAGAAATGCGGTCACTCAAAGAAAGAGATGTTTTGTGAATATAATCGCACTGTTTTATACTTCCACGATGGCCAATTCTACTGATTCAGATTAGCCGATGACGGACTGTAAAAGGATAGCTGCTTATCTCTCCCTATCATTCATGGACTCTGTATAATTTCAACAATCATTCCAATCGAAACAACTCATACTCCATATAGATTTCTCAGCTTGACTATTTACTCATATCGATTATAATTTTTCTTAGTTTGTCAGTGAGTCATAAAGAAAACATAACTAAAAAGGCCCCTTGAGAATTTATCTAAAAATGATAGAACGATTTTCTAGGCAAAACGATGCATATCGGTTACAAAATTACCTTCTCAGTGGTTTTTGTATGATATAATGTGTAGCATAAACCTTAATAGAAAGACTAGCTGAAACTCGTATCCGAATTAACTGCCGTAACAATTCTCTATCATTGGGTACAAATCATAAAATCTGAAGTTTATACTCAGTTATTGAGTTTCGTTTCTTTTTTTTTTTTTTGGTGGAGATGGAGTTCTTTCAATAAATTTGGGACATTGCCTATTCAAAATGCCATTACAATTAGGAAGGAAAAGAGAGCGATGCCGTTTATCAATGGTATCTATACACACTACCTCTATTTTGATACAGTTCTAGTTATGAGGAGATAAATTCTCTATGAGTTTTCACTTAAGAGGGTGTGACTGGTGACGGTAACTCCTGGTCACGTGGATTGTAACATCAATTCCATCTTGTCAGTCACGCATTGGTTTTGAAAAACAATAGTTACCATTCTAAGGTAACGGGACATGAGATCCTTGGACATTAAAAAAATCCTCAATTATAGAATGGATATATATGATTTTGCTTTGTAGCGGAGTATAGGAGAGGTTATTTCATGTGACTACTATGCACATAAATTATTGCAAATTTATACATTTTAACTTTAGATAAGGATTTTTTTTTTCAGATTCACTAGACAAAATATGCAGTTGTTCATGATTGGGTTGACGATGATGTTGTGCAATATATCATTATCATATAAGATATTTTTCAATGATAATTATATATTTCATGAAATGATATGACTGTGTAACAAATTGAATTATGTCTAACGTTTGTGACTTAATTTGGCAAATATGGAATGAATATCAAGTGATTCGGTGCCCATGATGGAACAGAAGGAATTCAACGAGGGTGGAGAAGAGGGGAGGAGGAAACAAACAAAGAAGAAAATACGAAGAAAGATTGCGTATCGGGAGGAAGTGACGTGGGGAGAGAGACAATTGGGAAAAAGTATCTTTTGAATTTGCTGGTGATTAAAGGGTGTCTCAATTAGTGTTGGACACGGCCCCACTAACAATGGACCTTTTGGTCCTCCTCTTTAATCTATACATTTATAATAAATTTATTTTAAATTTATTTTTTTATTATAAAAAATCACAAATTAATACACCGTGACAAATTTACTCAAAATTAATTTTTTGATCACCAAAAATCTCAAACTAGTATGTTTGTGACCCTCCGTTAGTTTTTTTTAAATTAGATTAATAACACGACAATCCAAAAATTAGTACTTCTGTGACAAACGGAGGATAAATTTATTATAGGTGTACCATTTTGAAAATTTTGATGATAAAAAAATTAATTTAAAATAAATTTATCAATATTTAAGATTTTTCAGGATATTAACCTTTAATTTCTTGACTTCCATTTGTTCCGTTGACTGACTTGGGCTTCTCTTTAAGACCAGGCGACTCCCAAGTCTACAATCAAACAAGGATCGTTCCATCTTTTTTCCATCTTTTTATATTGCGCCTCCTCTCCAAACACACACCGAGCAATTATTTACACATTTCTCTTGGCCCAGAGACAAATATCGGCATGATTAGTGCTCTCAGCTCCGTGAATGTCTATCCATTGTTGCTGCTCATTCTTGGTCTGTTGCAAGCGGTGACTAGCCATGCCCGATCGAGTAATCCGCAGTGCATCGCTTCATCCTGTGGTGACATTCGCGATATACATAGCCCATTTCGATTGAAGACTGACCCGAAGGGATGCGGCGAGTCAAAACATGAGCTGACTTGTGAAAATAATCGTACTGTTTTGTACCTCCTTGATGGCCGATTCTACGTGCAGTCCATCAATTATTCCGCCCACATAATCAGATTGATCGACGATGGGCTGCAAAAGAATAATTGCTTGTCTTTCCCCCGTCATTTATTGGCGATCCATAGCATCAATTCCGATCCAAACATCCCATACATCGGTTACAGCAACGATATATTTGTCATTGTAAATTGCTCAAAGCCGGTTAGTTCTCCATCTTACATCTCTACCCGTCCATGCATTGAGGGGTCATATTCATCCGAGGGGTCATATCCATCCGAGGCATCATCAAATTGGAACTTGTATGCTTTGGTCAATCCAAATGCTTTGGATGTGAAGGATTTTTGCACCATTAGCAGTTGGACGTGGGTATCACGTAAGCAGATTTATAGTAGCTCCGACAACTACGAGCTAATCCATAACAGCATGGCCGAAGGATTTGATCTCGAGGTTTATGTTGGAGAAAGTCAACCGAAGAAAACTGTTTTTTGCTACCTTGATTTCTATATCTACTTCCACTTCCATAACTACTTTTTTGGGAAGCACTACTGGAGCGGCGGCCAGGTCTGCGGATCCAAGTTATACTCTGGCGGTAAGCATTGGTTGGCAATGAAATTTTACCCCAATATTGCAGAATTCCGTACACTTGTTTTTTTTTTGGTCGAAGATTCTGTACACTTGTTTTTTTTATGGTCGAAGATTCTATACACTTGTTCACTTGCTACTTTCTCTTCAAAACTAGAAAGTGAAAGAAATATCTCATATCCAAGATAATTATGACGAAATATACATGATAGTATACGTCAACGTTGTGTATTTGAAAGGTTTTGGGAGCAAAAAAAAATTAATTAAATCAAGAGACACTTGTTAATATTCCTTAAATAATTGTATTCATGTATGGACGGAGGAACAAAATTATTAATTAACTAAAAGTGAAAATCACTGTGCCTAGATTATAATTCCTTTCCACAAAAGGGCTAGATTTCCCACTGTAAAAAAAGAAAAGAAAAAGAAAAAGGATTCTTGTTCGAGCAATCACTTGACTAGTTTTTGTTGGCATAGAATTTACATTTCCTTTATTTCTTAATTAGTTCTTTAATTAGTCACTTAACTAATAATCCAGGAGACGCTCCTTAACATTCCTTAAAAGTTTTAGTTATGTATCGGTGGTAGGAGGAACAACATTATTAGTTTTTTATTTTATTTCTTATGAAAATCACTATTTCTCTAGAGTTGTTGACCACTAATAAAGCGAAAGGAGTTTCTCGTAACGCCTACCATCTATGTATGAAGCTTCTTATTTGCATTTATTTGTAGATGTATGCATGCCACTACTCATATTCTTTTGGACAAAATTCAACTTATACAAAGTAGCAGGCTACTACTCTGTTTCCTCGTGAGTTTTGTTTTGCAAACTTCTTTTCCTTCAATTCCTTTTCACACCATTCATTACTTCCGCAGGTGTCCAAGATGATATTGCAATTTGGACTGCTGGAGATTTTATAATACTATTGGGTAAGCCGCAATGATTTGCTCTTACAATAATTATGAAGATAATTCTAACCTATCAAAGTTTTCTTCAGTGCTTTTCTGTGTAGCGAAATTCGTAATCGGGACACCATTTGTTGCGATATTTCTAATCTACAAGTACCGAAGAAGACACTTAGCAATGGACAAGAACATTGAAGAATTCTTGCAAGCTCATAACAACTTTTTGCCCATAAGGTACTCTTACTCTAATATTAAAAAGATCACCAGAAACTTTAAGCACAAACTAGGTGAAGGGGGGTATGGTTCCGTGTACAAAGGAATGCTCAGAAGCGGCAATGAAGTGGCCATTAAGATTTTGAAGTCCAAGGCCCATGGCCAAGATTTTATTAGTGAAGTGGCTACTATTGGAAGAATTCACCATGTTAATGTTGTGCAACTCATCGGTTTTTGCTTTGAAGGCTCGAAACAAGCTCTCGTGTATGATCTCATGTCAAATGGATCCTTGGACAAGCACATTTTTGCGGAGGAAGGTGATAAGTTTCTTGATTACAAGAAAATATATGAGATTGCTCTTGGGGTGGCAAGGGGGATTGAATACTTGCATCGGGGGTGTGACATGCAAATACTACACTTTGATATCAAGCCTCATAACATCCTTTTAGACAATAATTTCACTCCAAAAGTTTCTGACTTTGGACTAGCGAAGCTTTATCCCACAGATCATAGCATAGTTTCATTGACTGCTGCAAGAGGAACCTTGGGATATATGGCGCCTGAGTTGTTCTACAAAAATATCGGTGGCATATCTTATAAGGCAGATGTCTATAGCTTCGGGATGTTGCTCATGGAAATGGCAGGTAGAAGGAAAAATGTAAATGCAGATGCGGAACACTCGAGCCAAATTTATTTTCCGTTGTGGATATACGACCAAGTCAGTGAAGGTGCAAGTGTTGAAACGGAAGAAGCTGTAGAAGAGGAAAGGGAGGTGATAAAAAAGATGATAGTAGTTGCACTTTGGTGTATACAATTAATCCCTGACCATCGGCCTCCAATGAACAAAGTCTTAGAAATGCTTGAAGGAGATATCGGTAATATTCAAATGCCTCCAAAACCGCTTATTTACCCACCAGATGAGCCAGTTGAGGATGACAAAGTCAGCACGGAATTAGAAACATTCTCGACTTCATCAAGTGCTCCCATAATTTCTGCTAGTTTTCCATTTGGAGATAGCAATGATGTTTAGAGGACCATGCACAGTTTGATTGGAAAAGCTTTGTTCCCCACAGTATAGTGTTATGTTGGGCGGGAGTTTAGCTAGTTCAGCTTGACAGTGGTTACATTTTGTTTTCTTCTAGCTCTTAGGCTACTGTTGTGTTATTGTGGTTCCTATATAGTTTCACTCTCTTGCATCCTCCTTCGAATGGACATAGGAGAGCAAGGACAAAAATCGGTGGGGCAAAGGGACGGACATTGAGAATTTTCTTCCCTTATTATGTGATTTAGGTTCATGCCAATCAAAAAGCTAATTATAAGTTGCCATCTTGCTTCTTAACGTGCTACTACCGGCATATGGTTTCTTTGTATTAAGAATTGCTAATTTCAAATTATGAAATCAATTGCAGAGAAAACGTCCGTTTCACAAAGTAGACACCGTCTGTCTACGCGAGAAACAAACTTTTATCAAAATGGGAAAAAATAAGGTCTTAGATGAAACAATTCCATGAAGTTCATATTTGAAAGAACTCATATTGGGTTCTAAAAATAACTTGCAATTACTGATAACTAATTCTATGAAGTTTTCTTTGTCTCTTTCAATATTTGGCCATGTTTAATTAGTTTAACTTGATAGACTTTTTCAGCTCTATGTCTGATAAACAAAAATGTTATTTGACTTGGTGGCGTGGATTACTTTCAACTTCCCTAAAATTAGATATATCGTATAACTAAACACACATCTTGACGAATTGGATTGATTGGCTAGTCAAATAAAGAAACCAAGTTATGTTTCGAATACTGAATTTGTTCTTCATGATGTGGAAGAGGGACAAAAGGAACAGTATTTGCTCTAGCACACTGAAAAAATTGTTGTTATCTTTGGCCTTCTAAGCACCTCGAATCCGAAAATCTATAAGGGTGTTTAAAGAATCTTTGCATTTTCCGGAATTTGTCATTCCGTGATCAAGTATATCTCCATGGCAACCGGAAGATCTATTGTCATAAGGGATGCAAACCGGTTCCACCATTTTACAGATGGAACATGCTCAAGCAATGACTGCTGGTGATGATGTTTCTTAATTTGTCTCACTCATTGTGTGCATCGAATCCCTATTTTAGATGTTTTTCGCTCCTACACCTACGTTGAACCGGGATTCTATTATAGTCCTTGCAAGCCCAACAATGTAAGTATCATGTCCTGAAATGTATTTGAATTTGGTTCTCGTACTGTCAAAATACCAAGCTAAGGGCCTCATATGGATCTCGCAAACTTTTCAGCAATATGATTCATGGAATCTAAAATAGGCACGCTTTTGACTTTTGGATTTTCCTGGAGCATGCGGTTTTTCGAATACTAGATATAGATATTCTGTTCTATTCGTTCCAATGTCACTAGGTGTCGACACCTGAATTTTTACGAACCAATCGAATGTGCATTTTTTTTATAGAAATTTTTTTAATAAATAAAATAAATAGAGAATAGAGAATGAAAAACAAAAACGATATTCCTTTTCAATGGAGTCATCTTCTTCTTGTCGCAACCCCGACCTCCACAGACGGAAGCCGAAATGAACTCATCCTGACATATGTTTGATTACGGAATCGTCGTCGCGCACGGCTTCAAAGGCTTCATCGCACTACCGTCTCCTATTCTCCTTCGCCTCTCGCGCGCCTGATGTCGCGCGACGTGGCATTGCGGCTCTGTACCAGCGGGATTCGGTCTTCTGGTTCTGGCGTTGGCGAGAAAGGTCAAGTAAACCTGAACTGGCGAATCTTCAAAAGCTCGATGATCCTTACCGTCGTCGATTTCTCGATTCTTGTCCGCGCGCAAGGCTCCATCAGCAACGTGCGTTTCCGCATGGCGCCCCGAATCGGTACGTCGCGATGGTCCCGACCTCATCGAACCTTCAGGTGGAAGTTTTTATAGCGGCAAATGAGGCGGCGTGTACACTCAAAACAGGTACGACTCTATTGATTGAATCAGGGTACGTCTCCGTACCACGAGTAATAGGAATCTATATGCCTCCTTCAGTGGGATACATTGGTTTTCGTTCTCTCTGTTATGAGGTATAAGGAAGCTTTCTTAGCTATTTTTGATCCAATGAGGCCAAACGGATAACGCACGGTGAGTGTTTGATGATATGCCTCACAGGAATAGCTTCACTCGGAACACCTAGACTGGTGGACCTGAGTATGTGGATCAACTCTTTTAGTGGAGCCCATTTCTGGTGAGATCCGAAACTGTAGTTCTTTGCAAATGCTTTATCTCGAAGGGAATGGACTTGCTGGGAAGGTTTCTTAATTCTTAGTTGAATTCAGGGGTTTGAGAGTTTTTTTTGTCTCTTGGAGATAATCTGTTTCTCAAGTTCAGTGATCTCATGGGGACTTGAAGCTTTGAATTTAAGAAGCAATAGCTTCATTGGTAGTTTGCCGGAGCAAATAACGGAGATGAGCATCTTGATTGTTTTGGACTTCAGTGGAAATAGATTCTTAGAGCCAATTCCAGTTGGTTTGAATGAGCATTCATGCTTCTGCCGGTGTTTCCTTACCCCTTGAAGATGTAATCGTCCCCCTCTCACCGCCTTTGTTGAATCCTCGTCATCACGATCGCTACTATTGATGAACCATCGCTATCGCCGAGGTGTAACATGCTGGTTGCCTCATGGACGCTGTCACTGAATCGTCGTGCCAAATTACTGAGACTTTGCTAGAGGGTCGCGACAGTAGAAATAAAATTATTTATTCATAATGAAAATCATTTTTTCTCTATATGTGGTGACTACTAGCAAAGCAAAAGGATTCTTATGTCGTCTATCATCTATGTAAACGAAGCTTATTATTTCCATGTATTTGCAAATGCACGCATGCCACTATTCGTATTCTTTTGGACAAAACTTGTACAAAGTAGCTTGCTACCACTCTGTTTCCTCATGAGTTTTGTTTTCCGTACTTCTTTTCGTTCAATTCCCTTTCACATCTTTTATTCCTTCCGCAGGTGTCCTAGATGATATTGCATTTTGGACAACTTCAGATTTTATATTTCTAATAGGTATGCAGAAATGTTTTTTTCTTGAAATAATTAAAAACAAAAAAACCTATTCTGACCTATCAAGAGGAACCTCGAGATATATAACGACTAAGTTGTTCTACAAACACATTGGTGGTGTATCTTATAAATCGGACGTCTATAGCTTTGGGATGTTGCTCATGGAAATGGTAGGTAGAAGGAAGAATGTAAATACCAGTGTGGAACACTCAAGCCAAATTTATTTTCTGTTGTTAGTGTACAACCAAGTCAACGAAGGAATGATTGGAAGAGGCAACAAAGTGGCCATCAAGATTTTAAAGCAGTCCAAGGCCCATGGCCAAGATTTTATCCGTGAAGTGGATATTATTAAAAGAATTCACCATGTTAATGTAGTGCAAGGTTTTTGCTTTGAAGGCTCAAAACAAGTTCTCTTGAATGATCTCATGTCAAATAGGTCCTTGGATAAGCACATCTTCATTGAGGAAGGTGATAAGTTTCTTGATTATATGAAAATATGAGATCACTCTTGGGGTGGTGAGGGGGATTGAATACTTACATCGGGGGTGTGACATGCAAACACTATACTTGATATCAAGCGTCACAACATTATTTTAGACAAGAATTTCACTCCGAAAGTATCTGACTTTGGACTTGTGAAACTTTATCCCATTGATAATAACATAGTCTTATTAACTGTTGCAAGAGGAACCTTGAGATATATGGCGCTCGAGTTGTCTTGCAAAAACATTGGTGGTGTATCTTATAAATCGTACGTCTATAGCTTTGGGATGTTGCTCATGGAAATTGTAGGTAGAAGGAAGAACGTAAATGCCAATGTGGAACACTCAAGCCAGATTATTTTCCATTGTTGGTGGACAACCAAGTCAATGAAGGAAAAAGAGTTGAAATGGAAGAAGTTGGAGAAGAGGAAATTAAGGTGATAAAAAAGATGACAATTGTTGCACTTTGGTGTATACAACTAATCCCCGACCATCGGCGTTCAATGAGTAAAGTCTCAAAAATGCTAAAAAGGAGATATTAGTAAACTTCAAATGCCTCATAAACCGCTTATTTACCCACCAAATGAGCCGGTGATCAATGACAAAGCCGATATGTAACTAGAAACATTCTTGACTTCATTAAGCACTTCGACAATTTCCACTAGTTTTCCATTTGCAGATAGCAATGATGTTTAGAGAACCATCCTCAGTTTGACTGGAAAAGCTTGTGTACTTGTTATGTCTCCCCGCAACCTAGTATTTTGTTAGGAGGGAGTTGAGCTAATTTAACTCAACAGTGATTAATTTCGAGATTGTCTTCTTCTAGCTCTTAGGTTAATGTTGTGTCCTTATATTTCATATGGTTTTACTCTCTTGCATCCTCCTTCAATAGGATAAACAAATTGGTAAGAGAGCAAGAAAAAAAAGGTAAGGAAAGGTGACAGACTTCAATAATTTTCCTTCCTCGTTGTGTGATTTAGGGCAATTTCACTTAAAAAGCTAATAATAACATGAGGTCTTGCTACTTAACAGGCTACTATCGGCGTATGATTTGTCGATATCAAGAACTGCTGGTTTCAACTTATGAATTCATTTTCAGAGAAACTAGACATGTATACATTTTACAAGGTAGACACCATCTCTCTGTGCGAGGAACAGCTTTGATCATAATGGGATAAATGAAGGTCCTAGATGGAACAATCCCATGAAGTTTATATTTAAAAGAACTCATATTCCATTTTAAAATTTACATGGAGCTACTGACAAGTAACAAGATCCAAAAACTATGATTTCCTCTTAAAAATTATCACATGATTATAGTGCACCTTAATGAAACTTCATCATTTTCAGTTTGATGTTCAAAACTTTTTTTTTTCTAAAACTTTCTATCAAAATCCCTGTAAGTTTGCTTAAGGTGGATCACAACTGTTGTATTCAGTGGGCAAAGATGTAAACTGATGACATAATCTCATCTCATCTTATATTTACTGACTTTGTGTTATCTCTTTCTTTCCAATTATTTTTCATGTAATAAATTGTGATTTCTAATTAACACGATATATGCGCCTTGTATGCAAAATATGTATTGTTCGGTTATATCTTTTAGAAAATTTAATAAGGATGAAGCCAATCTTAATCATAGCGGAAAAGTTCTAGCTAAAAAATAAATTTTAAGATTTGAAAT